AAGACTTAAAACTAAACTCGTCATTGTCAATCGTGTTTGTGAGCTGGCTGCCATCAATTACACCTACCCTATCATTGAAATCAATATTTTTCAACTCAGTAACAACAGCTGATCCAGCGCCATTGGAATGAACTCCATTTTCACTGCCGGTGGAAATGGGACCGTGCCCGTTTTCAGGCTTGGTCTCTAAATAACGATTAAACAGATCGGAAATATTAAGATTCCGATTATTCTTCGATGCGTCGTTGCTAACTAAATTTGAATTGAGATCCAGAGCAATCGTACTTTTCTGCCCTTGATTGACATCCACAGAAATACCGAAATTGTGTACCTCCTTGTCTTCTTCCTCGGGATCCCCAAAAATGGAGAGCGGCAAAGCGCCACTGGGCTTCACCCACGAAGGGGGTGATGCGGATTGACGGTCTCCATTGAAATTTGTGCCGGAAGGCTTCGATTGCTGCGGGGATTTCACAAAATCGCCCCATTCGTCGTCTTCGTTGTGGGCCATCGATTTGGATCGGCAGGAGGCGGAGGTGTTGTCTCCGTGTGCTCGAGTGAATTTACCCGAGCACATCCCTTCCGCTCGTGTAAATTCACACGAGCACATTAACAATTTTTTTTTTTTTTAACCCACTCGTGTGATTTCACACGAACAGAGAAGGTATGCTCGTGTGAAATCACTCGAGCAGAACGTCTCTGTTCGTGTGAAATCAGGTGAGCAATTAAAAAAAAAAAATTAGCAAGGCCTGCTCGTGTGGATTTACACGAGCGCAATGGATGCGCTCGGGTAAATTCACATGAGCAGGCCAAAGTCCGATTTTTTTCGTTTTTTTTTTCGGATTCGTAATCTACATAACAAGAGGATCGTAAAAACGTAAAAATTACCTCCGATCTGTTGACAATTTGCACGGGCTTTATGAAAGAAAATCGAAAGGTTGAGAGAGTTTTTGAGTTTTTTCACTTTTTGTTTTTTGAAGAATGGTAAAAAATGTGCCTGACTGTTTAATATGTGCCTGCACAAATCATTTCAGATGTATAAATAAAGAGACTGATTAATTTTATATCCTACCCTGAAGGTGTTGGAAATTTAGATTTTCTTACATTTTTGTTTCAGATGTAGGTAGGTAGCACTTTGGTAAGGGCTGTTTGCTGCTGTTTCTTGAGTTTGTTCAAGGGGATATATATTACGAGTATATTATGTCAGTCTTGTTTGCTCCTTCTCTTCAACTTTATCTTCATATTACCAACGAACTGAAAAATGGATTATCGAGAGTGTCATTTTTATTTTTATTTCATTTAATAAAAAATCATAAGGGAAGAATTGTCGAAAATAAATTCATTTCTATTACGAGTGCATTTTAAAATTAAATAGAATACCAAACCGAATAAATTTATGTTGACCGACCAGAAAAAATTGAGGGTCCTCATAAACAAGGGAAAATTTGATAAAACCCCCTATTACACAAGTGCCATTACAATGAGCCCAATTTTATTTTATATTTTTAAGATAAATCAAAAATATTTTTTTATTAATTAAAAGCACTTAATTATCACCATTTTACTCATAACTAAGAAATAATGTATATGTCTATCTTAAATAACACGTTCGTTACTAATTTCACGATTCCCGCTCATTGATTGTAGATTTCCGTTTCGGTGGAGTGGGAATTCTTAATATGAGAGGTGATATACAAATTACAATAATGCACTCTCTACCTCCATTTCTCTCTAGAGACAAATCTTCTCAAGCTTTTATATTAGAAATCGTCTCGAAATCCATCTTATTGTAGCGATTTATAATGAAAATGAGTGCATCGGATGAGGAACGAGATACACAAGCCAATAAAGTAAAATTTGTTCGTTTTTTTTCTACAAATCGGGAAAACGTGGCTAACGACCAAAATGAGCGCCGAAAAATAATTTTCACGCCCAAACTGAACGCGTAAAATAATCTCAAAAAACCCGATCTTTTGGGGGTTTTCACATGATTAACACCAAATTAATCACAAACTAAACACATATAACTAATCTATATGAGATATTGCCTTTAATTTAGAAAGATTTTTGGATTTGAGATGATTTGTGAGAATTGTTGAGGGTTTTTGTGTGTTTTGGAGCTTTTGGGGGTTTTAGAGAGAGAAAGACAAGTATAGAATAATGAACGATATTCATAATTTTAGTGGCGTAAATCATTTGAGTTTTAATATCTCTCTCTCAATATACGTTTCTCTACTCTAGCAAACACTACAGAGAGCTCTGGCAACGCTATGGGTTAATGTTGTTCGATTCACTTTGTAGAGTTATTAACCTCAAAAAATATCAGTCTTCAATGGATTATCGAAGCCCAACATCTCAATCAAGAGTTATCTCGAGAGAATTGTAGATGTATGAACATGTTTGTTTTGCTTGAACGTTATGTTGTTTATCCGAGCAAGAAAAGCGAATTTGTAATTATACAGAGTGGTTTTGATTTACATAGTTGTTGTACATAGTGGTTTTCATATTTATATAGTTGTTTATATATAGTGCTTTTCATGTTTATATTTATTTATACAAAGTGGTTTTCATATTTATATAAATGTTTATATATAGTGGTTTTCATGTTTATATAATTGTTTATACAAAGTGGTTTTCATGTGTCTTTGATTTTCTCCTTTCTGGAATAATCTGGAAATGGCGAGAAGCACATGCATAATAAATGAAGAACAATCGTGTAAATTACTTGCAATTTTCAACTAATCAGTTTAAATCAACAAACACAGGACATTAATTAATTATTCTTCGCCGCTGATTTTCGAATTATCTTGTCGTGCTAACGATTACGAATAACTGTGGCTTCCTTAAAAAAAAGGTGTTTTTAGTTTCTAATCCGTTTCTTCCCTTAAAACAACAATCTCCATTGTTGGGTGAACTTTTTGGTGTAAACGATGGGCAAACAATAATTTTCGAATGGATTTGGAACGTGATTTGGGGGAAGAATTTTCTGGAGGATTTTTCGGTGCTATTTATTAGGGGGAATATGCGTTTATCAGCATATTTTTATTTATTTATTGGAATAATTAGTTGGGACATATAATGTATTTTTGGTTGATTAGATTGATGTCAAATATCAATTAAAAAAATGGAGTTATCAAGAAGTCAAAATCCAATAATAGAGTGTTATCAAATAGCCCCATAAACAAATTATATTTTTAAATTACAGAAAATTATAAATGCGTTCAAACAAGATCCTAGAGCTGGAAAAAATTTAGTTTCCAACTTTTTTTTTTTTAATTTTGTTTTGCAAACACTATGTGTAGTCACATTAAATTTTGGCACAAACAGTGAGATTCCATTTCAATGCATAATACTGACCTATGGATTTTCATTTTTGTAAGTATTTGAATAATTAGATCTTATTCATTGGAATGATTAATTTTCTGAAACAATATGTATAGCAAAGATAATTATGACATTAACTCCCACACTTTATTTCAGAATTTCATAGAAATTAAAATTTTAACTTAGGTGGTGTTTGCAAATGATTATTTAAAAGCAGAAGTTAGTGATTGTGATTTAAGTTAGTTTTAAGTGTTTATTTCTAAAAGTTGGTGGTATTTGTAAATATTTCGGAAAATGAATTAAAATTGAAAAAGCAAGGTTAGGGGTGCTTTTAAAAAAATAGCTTAAAGCAGATTATTTTAAGAGAAACAAAAGCAAAAGTTGATTTTGCAAACACCTCAAAACAGATTATGAGCAAAAAAAACCGCATAATCACTTTCAAAAAGCATTTGCAAACACCAACTTAATAAGAAATATGAAATAAAATTTTACAAGAGTCAAAGGGATGGGCCAGTGTTAAAAAGTGGGAATAATATTATATTAGCATAAATGAAAGGTAGCCGTTTCTATGCGTTCGATATCATTCCGGAAATGGATTCGACCGTTACGAATAACTTATTAGTACTATCCGTTACACAAAAGCGACTTTCCCCTCCCACCATTACTTACTTGTTCACCTTTTCACTCCATGTTCGAATCATCACACACAAAATCATACACCCACCCAACCCAACCAGTGTGTAGAGAGAGAGAGAGATAGAAAACCAGAAATTTTTGTTTCTCTGTGCGAAGAAGAGAGAGAGAGAGAGAGATACAGAGAAATGGTTGCCAGAAGCCCACCGAAGCAGCAGCAGCGGAAGATGGTGGTGGCGCCGCCGCCTCTCAGCCCCACTCTTCTCAGAGAGACGGTTAAAAAGGTGAGCGAATTGATCAATTGAACTGGTTCTCGATTGAAAAATTATTGGAAGCAGATGAATCATGTTAATTTGATAATTATGAATTGTTTAAAAAAATGCTGATAATTGTGGTGCGTGTGTGTGTGTGTGTGTTTTGATAATGAAGGTAGACATGTGTATGGCCAGATTACAGGAGCTTCAGTACACAGTGGCTGGTGGGACGAAAATGATATCTGGTGTGAGGCTCAGTCCTAACAGTACCCGAACCTATCTCCGAACCAGTTTACGCTGTAAACACGAGTCCCTCAGGTACATGTTCACTATAATCTATCTTTTTTTTCTCCCTGTTTCATTGTTCACAATTCATATGTTGGCAATTCACAATCATACAGATTTTTTTTCTTCATATTGTTGTGTGTTTATTCAGTCTTTATTTTCGTCTATGCCAATTCATTGTTCACTGTTCTTGTACAATTAATTGAATCCAATTATCGGCCAATTTGAAATCGAAAAAATCCGATCCAATTATCCGCTGATGTCTGATCGTGCCTTTGAGTATCAATCCAACTGAGAAATTTCAAGATCCAATTTGAAAGCTCTTTTTGAGCTGGGATGAAGCCTATTATTGATCCTTTTGTTCTTTAAACATATATATTTTTTCTTGTTTATTCTGATTATATTTGGATACTGTATTCAAGTTCAACACATATGATCATCATCATACTTTGTATATTGATTACTCAACAAACAGCTGCCCTTTTGTTTGTCAAGGATTAAAAATGCTACTGGTCAAAGATCTCCTTCTGGAAAATTGCCAACAAACAATACAGGTGTTTATTATTATTCCTTCTTTTGCTGCTATATTATTATTATAATGCAACAACCAAAATCCATTTCGAATTTGCTTGACGTACATATATGATATATACACACAGAAACAGAGGAATGGAGAAGAATGTCATTGCCAGCAATGCTCTTGGGAGAGACAATGGGTGAAATTCTACAGGCAAGTCAATTTGCTAGAAACATCGTACAATCTGTTTCTTCCAACACAAGAAAACCGACAACCGACGACCCCACAACTCCACTGACTGAGAAGAGGAGAAAGCAGAAACAAACGGAAACGGCACAACAACAGCACTCCGAACTTCACGCACGACGAAAGATGGAAAAACAGACAATGTGGTCCGAATCAGAAAAGCCGTCCTCCATTCAACGAGCTAAATCGCGAATAAACTTCAAAGCTTCTTCTTCTTCGCCCGTGCACAAGAGAGATTGTGACAAGGAAAATTGCAGGTACATAGCTAACAGAATTTCCCCAAGGAATAGGCCATGGGCTAGAAAGACTGTATTATTTCCCAACCCATTATTTCACTCTTCTCCACCCACATCAAATCATCAAAAATTCTCCAAGACTTATACACCGGTGGTTACAAGAAATCGACAAACTCCACACAAGTTCTTGATAAAGTCCCCTAAGGCTATTTCTCCCTCAAAGTTCCAAGTGAAAATTAAAGCCCCTCCGGTTTCTATTTCACCAACAAGAGCAGCAAATTTAGGCAAGAAATCGCCAAAGGCATCGTTATCTGCAGTAGCAAAGCTGAGAAGGTCATTTTCACCATCAAGGCTGGCAAACAGATTAGCGTCACCATTGAAAAACAGAAACAATGTACAGAAGAATGAAGGGTCGTCGTCATCTTTAGCGATGACAACTGCAGCAGCTAAGCTGCGTAGGTCATTTTCACCGTCAAGGATTGCAAACAGGCTAGTTTCCCCACTCAAAAGCAGAAAGCTTCTTCTTGTACATAATAATAATAATAATAAGAATGAGGGGAATATTATGAGTGGACTGAAACAGCGTCCCATGTCTTTGTCAGTTCAGTTCTCACCTCGGAGAATTTGAGCGAGCGTGTATAAATAATCCAGGTCTGTCTGTCTGTACGTTGTTGTAAGATTGAGATCTTCTCAATGTTCGTAGTTCTAATTCATGTGATATTTGATGGATAAATATACTACTTTTTCCATGTTGTGATATCACTCATATGTTTCTTCGCCTTTGTTATTATTATTGGTGTGTATAGAGAGAGATAGGTGTGTGTATAATGTATGTGTTAAGTGTGTGTATCAGTTTTTTTGAGCGATTGTGTTGTGGTATTATTATTATTAGAATAGGATAGAGATTTTGAATACTAATAATATACTGAATTAATTGGATATGATAAAGATAATAAAATGATGACTAGTGTTAGATAAGAGATTTTTAGATTGAACGAGGATAATTGTTTGTTTTGGGTTTACTTGCAGAGTTGAACTTGAAGAAGTTGAGATACATACAATGATTTTATGTATCAAATATTTCAGCTGAATATTTGTTACTACATGATCAGCAGGCTGAGTTTGAGAGGAAACAAGCTCTAATATCAAGTGTTATTGTATATTGCTTTAACTTGAGTTTAGGAACTTCATTTCGGCAGTTGTATGAGAAATCGAGATTCGAAACTCGAATACAATCGAGAAATGAATGAAACAAAAATTAAGAGCTAGTGAAGAGGTAGAGTTCAAGTTGTTGGCCTTTTTAATTCATTACCTCATTCTCCTTGTATATAACTTTTGAAATTAATCAATTGCTATTTTGTGAGATAATTCTTGGACTTGTTTAATGACTTGATCTGTAGATTTATTTAATTTGGGATATTTTGTGTGAAAAGTTAATAATGAATTTATAATCATTATTTATGTATGATATCCATTTTCTTGATGTTTGGGACTTTGGGGTTTTGAGGCCTTGCCTTGCACGTTCATCCGTTTGTTTATATGGTTCTCATTTGGTTTTCCGTGTAACGAAGAGTTAATTGCATAGACCCCCCTGTGTTATTTCTCGGAAGCAAAAAACCCCCCCGGAAAAAAAAATTAGCATATAACCCCCTCTGTTGTGTTTTAGTCAGCCCACCGCCCCTTTGTGTGCACTGGCTCGTTGACTTAAGTGAAATGACAGAATTACCCTTAATAAAAAATAAAGAGAAAAAGAAAAAATAATGTCTAACAATTTTTAATAAATTTTCAATTTTAAACAAACAAATATAAATAAAATATGTGTTAAATATAATAACAATTAAAAAAGGAAAAGAAAAAAGAAAATAGTGTTCTTCTTCATCCCGTCTTCCACCACACCCCACACCCACCACCACAACTTCATCCACCATTTTCCCCAAGCCCGCATCCCTACACATACTGCACTGGGTCAACCGGGTGAGATCCCCATTGCAGACGGATTCGAGTTGGATGTACGGATCGACGATTCTGGTCCAATCGTCTACGGATCCCAGCGCAGCTGGTGACCGGATTATTGACGAAGAAGTTCGTGTCGTAGCAGGCGGGGTAAAACGGAACGGAAATCGACATTGACAGAAGCTTCTCCTGGAAATCAGACATGCAGGAAGACGAAGTGTTGGAATCGGGGAGGTAGAAGTTGGAGGTTCTGTTGAGGTAGATCGCCAAACCCATGCCGAAGACGCTGCGGAGCGTCTGGCAGCAGCCGGGACGCGGAGCATAAGGCAGAGGCGGCGGAGATGGTGGATTCTGGAGGAGCAGGATTGGTTGGTGGTGGCTGTTGGGGGTGGGTGGACGAGTGTTTCTTTTTAATTTCTTTTTTCTTTCTATTTTTGGAAAATTGCAAATCAGTCCCTGACTCAAGGAAGAAGAGGGCCTTTCTGAAATTCAAGGGACTGAATTGAAAAAATTGAAAACTTTATTTGGGGATTATTTTTGAAATTTATAATTTAAAGGGCAGTTGGGTCTTTTCACGTCAAAAAATCGAACCCCAGTCGCATATTCGGCGAGTGCAGCACACGATTCGCTCGGAGGGTCCTTATTGACATTGACTTCCTTTCATAGGGGGTTATTTGTTAATTTTTTTATCCGAGGGGTTTTTTTGCCAATTAGACATTTCACAGGGGAGCCGAGTGCAAATACCCCGTGTAACGAACCTACAATCACATTGATGCATTCTTCTTTTCACGTTATTATATTTAATCCACTATTTAAATCAAATTAAGTTTTGAAGTTATCTATAAATTAATATTGTTTATCTTGATTAAATAATTAATTCCAGTTTGCACCTCTGTACTATCACTACTGTTGCATTTACCCCCTGTACTATGAAATGCGACAAAACACCCACTGTCATCCATCTCCTTTGCGAAAGCCGTCCCTATCAAATGTTGACTGGCTATTGAACTAGCCGTTCGAAAAATTCTGACCAAAACACTCCTCTACTTGTGTATAAAAGGGGTGCATCATTCTTCACTCATTTGTACTCAATTCCTTTCCAATTTCTTTCTAATTTTCATTTTCAGCCCCTTTTCTTCACCCCAAATTTCTGAAAAAAAATTATATTCAAAAAATTATTTTTAATTCTTTTTTAAATTCATTATTAATCGGTTTAAAAATGTCTTCCGGAAGTTCAATTTCTCAAAATTCTTATTTTAGGTCCAAACACTACATGTCATATTTTTCAGGAACCGCATGTTACACTAACAGATACGGCAAACACGTGAAGTTTCCCCGTGCCGGAAACGTTTCGGACACGAAACGCGAAGACACCTATCAGAAACGGTGTTGGGCCGTATCTGTAATATTTGAAAAATTGGACACGTCTACCCTAAGTAGACACGCGTGCCAAGGGGAAAAAAAGAATTTGTTTTTTTACAAATCTGATTATTTGGGTTTTTGTGAAATTGGAGGAATAAATTGGCAGCTCTGTCTCATTAATCCGATAATTAATTTCAAATTTATTTGAATAAAAGCATTAAATACTCATGTAAATTTTAGTATTATAAATAAAAAATAAAACATAATTTAGTAATAATTTATAAATAAACCCCTATATTTTTAATATTTACATGTATCCCCACATTCCCGTGTCCTACGTTTTTTGATTAAGTGTATCCCGGTGTCCGTATCCGTGTGTCGACGTGTCCCCGTTCTTGTATCTATGTAACATAGTCTGTAAGTCATTAACAAGCTCTAGGGGTGAGGTAATATCTCCCAAGGAAATATCTATATCAATATCTTGTATAAACATATCAATTTCAAGCACATTTTTTTCAACAAACAACTTGAACATTTCTAGAACATCACGATCAATCTCAAGTAATGCAATGGCATTCTCATTAGGCAATTTATACCATAACACATAAGTTATGGGATATCCAAGTTCTTTAACTATATCTAGCAGCTCAAAATACGACATTAAATCGGGATCAATATTCGGCACAACTGAAACCATTCCCCCAGCATAATCAAAATAACTTTCAAACCTCCCTCCATGATTAATTCTAAAGGTAAAAAAACGTATCTGGCATTTTAATCTGTATAAAAACATGAAAAATAGGTGAATTACAGTAGCTAAAATCTTCAAACTTCCCAAAATTTTGAAAACCCCTAAAACCCATTAATCCCCAAATTCTACTGAGTATAGAAACCATCTCTTCAAAACCCTTTTCAAATAGATTCCCAAAACTGAATTTCAAAAAATTTCAAAACCCCCAAAATCCTTCACTCGTAAACCCCAAAATCCACAAATTCAAAAAAACATAACTTTAAATACAAAATAGAGCTTGTATTGTAAATACTAATTCAAAACCGTAAAATTTGTATTGATAATTCTGTGAAAGTAGGGTTGTAACCCAATCTTTGAAGATCTAAACCTAAATTCCGCATGGTGATAGTACAAAGGTGCAAACTGTATTTAGCCCTTAATTTAATAATTGAGTTTTGTGTTAAATATTTGAGTTCTTTTACTAGATTCAAAGGTTCTTAAAAAATAGTGAACATATTTTCGAATAACTATCCTGCACGACCTATAAATTAAATCAATAAATTTAGAAACGTACATGAATTTAAATATTTGAATTCTTTTTCTTGACCTAAAAATTTTAGATTAAAATTCATACTTTCACTTTATCGAAAGATGAAATAAGAATTTCGGTGGAGGGTCGATAATTCTAGAGGGTAAACTGAGGTCTACAAGAGTCCATGGCATCACCGAAGAAACATCTTTTGTAAGGACATTCACGAAAATGGCAAAGATCAATCAAATATTTGTAAAAGAAGAATTTGGTATAGTTAATTTTATGGGGTTTTTGTGCATAAGTCACAAACCAAGCATCTTTATTATTTTAGGTTTACCGGTTATATCTTTTTCACCAATGAGCCCATCCCTTTAATATTTATTATAAATAAAGGAAACATTCATGTATATGTCAATATTATCCCCAACCCTTTTTCCCCAATTCTTAATTGTAACCCAATTTAATCAATTTTGTCCACAAAAATCTAATTTTGACCATAAAATTCAATTTTGACTTTTTTTTTTCAAAAAAAAAATTTTTGCCGCCGGATTCTGGCGTTGACTTTTTTTTTTCTTTTTTTCCGGATTTTTTCGCCGGTTTCTGGCGTTGATCGGCGGTTTCCGGCGTTGACTTTTTTTTTAGTGTTCTTTTAAGTTTTTTTTTTTTTTTTTTTTTTTTTTTTTTACGTCCGCCGCTAAACGTTGATCGTAATTGTGCTGTCACTGACATTAAATTAACGTAATTATATTGTCAATGATAGTTAATTAACGTAATTGTACTACTGCCGTTGACAATACATTTATGTAATTGTTCTGCCGTTGACAGTAAATTAACGTAATATACTTTTTTTTTTTTTTTTAGTTTTTTTGATTTGTTGACAAGTCAACGTAATTATACTACTGTCGTTGACGGTAAAATAACTGCAAACACAATAATATTACTGTCAACAACATCAATTTTATTATTTTTTTGGATTTTTTGTTTTGTTTGAGTTGTTCACGGAGTAACGTAATAATATTATTGTATTTTATTGTAATATTACTGTAAACACAATAATATCATTGTGGTTGAAGGTAATATTACTGTTGTTATAGTAATATTGTTGCCAGCCACATCAATATTATTATTTTATTTGGATTTTTTTGTTTGTTTGAGTTATTCACGGAGTAACGTAATAATATTACTGTCT